CCACCCCGGTCGGTCCGTTCACTGCCATCCGCCTGCTACGCCAATGTCCCGCATTGCTCCACCTTATGGTCTCGACTCTACGGCTATTCAACGCGCTTGGTTTCTCGAAAGCTGAACGAGGGAGCTCGTTCTCAACGCTTGTTGGGGGCAGGCTGTAACGTTGGCATGACAGGGAGCAGCAGCCGTAGTTGAAGTACAGCATGTACTGCTCTACATTGTAGACATGTGTAGTCGGCCCCGAATAAATAAGGGCACCACACGCGGCGGACAGATTTGCACAAGATTTGCACAAGTTCGCGCCGTACAAAAAACGGCTTATGTTTGTTTGTGTGGCAACCCAGCACTCTTGGCTGAGCACCTGCTCTTGTGGATAAGACAACTGCGGGCTGCGTTTAATCTACAGTATTAGTAGCACGTGCGGAGGACTGATCACAGGTTGCCATGACTTTGAACATCTGACCCCGCTACTTACCGCTGGGCGTTTCGTTCTTTCTCCGTCGGTGGTCCCGACGGGGTTTTGCGCCTGCGCCAGCAGGCGCTGCTCGTGGCGTACATGCTTCCCATTTTCCAACGGGCGACGGGGAGGTCGGGGACGCTCAGCGGCGCGCTGTTCGGACTATGGGTGAGAACTGCGCTATAAAAAGGGGCAGAAGCAAACGAGAAGTGACACAGACAAGATCGGGGACAGTTGATCTGAAGGACGCAGGTGATCGGGGTAACTTTGTTCCACGGCGGTCTGTACGACGTAGGCGGGCTGGCTCATGATCTGTCCTCTGTGTGAAACGTGGTATGCATAGAGTCACCTTTGGCAAAGTAGGGAGGAACGGTTGACCAGCGGTACTCGGTACTGTGGGAACAATGCTCCGTCTTATCTGGAGGACGCGTGGCCAATGGTCTAGCAACTACGAGTCCTCGTTGCCCGGCATTTAGCAGGGAGCACGAGCGGTACCAGCGACAAGGAACTACGCATGGGTGTCGGGTGGGTCCATCCCGTTGCCAAAGATCAGCGGTACGGTTGCGGCCATCCTGCCGTCAAGTTGTCGCGTGTCGGCAGCCTCGCTCGCAAGAAATGGGGTAGACGCCGAAGGAGTTGACTCGCAAGAAGCCAACCGCGTACCGGTGACCACGGCGGCAACCTCACAGGCGTCTCTCGATGTCTCTAGCGGAGGGGGACGGGAGACAAC